TACCAATGACAATCATTCAAAAATGATTTACTTAGAACATGTATGTCTAACAAAGACGTAAGGATAAATTATAAGATTCAAAACACGATGCTATCAAAATTACAATGCTGTCAATGGATTATCTTATTTCAAAACTTTTCTTCAATACTAACCTTCTAATTCATCAGCTTCTTCATCTTCTTCTAATTCATTATCATTAATGTTGTTTTTTGTCGAATTACAATAGTTTTTTTTGTAATTAATTAATGATTTATATGAAGATAAAGCATCTTTTAATATCAAAGTACACAATAACACCATATGTAAGGATGGAGCATTTCCTGTTTGAATTAATGTCATTGTATGTTTAAATGGTTTTAAAAGTAATATCAACTGTTTGATGGTTGTTTCATCTAAATCATTTATTAATGATTGTTTTTTTCGAGCTACTAGTAATCTTTTTGTAGATTTAAATGATTGTAAAAGACTTTCTAGAAGATTTGACATAGATAACCAACGAACAATACATGATTGATGTAATGTAACACCACCTTGTTCTTTGATATCATTATTGATGCCTGTCTAAAAGTCAAAATGAGATAAGATGGTAATGTAAATTGACATAAAAGATAAATATTCTGTGAGAAGTACTTACTTTTTTCACGTACTTGACTACCTTCTTACATTTGTTTAAAATTTGAAGAACACGTTTAGCTGGTTGTGGAATTTGATCGGCGTTGATTTTCACCTGAGAGACTGATAATTCATTTCTTACCATAACGATTTTTCTTGAAATAGATTTTTTTTTTCGAACAACTGGTAAAGAAACTATATTATTATATTCATCATCAGTTGATGATTCACTCTCATCAGCAGAAGACTCATAGTTTTCATTACTATTATAATTAGCTGTTGTTTCAGCATCAAGTACAGGTGTATCATCATATACAACAGCAGTAGCAGCAGCTTTTTTCTTTTTTGTTTTGTTCTGGTAAAAACATATTTTTACGATATTATTGATTCTATGTCCATAGCAAAAGATCGGCTGAAAATTTTTGAATGCACAAACAAAATTGCTCCCACGATCACAAACAATATTAACATCAGCTAATGAGTTAATTCCGAAAAATTCCAAATACTTATGAAGTGCCTAAAAAAATAAAAATATACTAAATTTGCAATTGCAACAGATGAAACACTCTTCCGTAAACTGCGAAAACTTTCATTATCAGCGAATGTTTGTCAAAATACTTTTTCATTAATAGATCTTAATGGATTTATATTTAAAAAAAATCTATACAAAAAGATCACGAAAAAAATTTAAGTAATATTTTATCTATCTATAAGTAGTAGACGACAGAAAAAACGAATAGACTTACGTTCAAAGTGTTTTCAGCGGTCTTTTTTTCGTATTCAAACGGTTTACAAAATAAATCAATTGTTTTATAATGACAATCATTGTCAACAATAATTACAGTTACGCCTAAATATGAAATCTTTTTGTATGAATCGGTCCAGTAATCCGGACAAATTGTTAATGAATGTTCTTTCAAAGGAATTGATAAAATTTCTTTGATTTGTTCACGTGAAGTATCAGCAAATGATGAAACGTGCCGTGATATGGATTTTTCACCACGAAGTACTTCATTAATATCAAACATTCCATGCACAGTACCTAATAGGGACATAAATAAAATTATAAATTGCACATATTTACGGCTATTTACCCAGACGAACACATTCTTGAGCTAAATTTCTAAAACCAATATCATCTAATATACTAAAAGGCCTGATATCACCACACACCCATTTTACAGATAAATCTTTCATTTTTGTAATATCATTTTCTGTAAATTTTACCTGTTTTGTAAAACCCATTTGGTTTAATCTTGTTTGTGTTGATGGAGTTGAAGACGAAGTAAAACTAATTGATGATGATGATGATGATGTTGTTATTGTCGTATTGGATAAAGGAAAGCATTTATCTGCATGTTGTTTAAAACGTTTTGTACCACTTAAATTGTTATAAACCTGAGTGGTCATACACCTAAAGCAACTAATAAACCCAATAATTCTTTGTAATTTCTTATTCTCATCTAACTGTGCAGGATAACCAAATGCTCGCCACCATTCAGCAGCAGATGGTGATTCATTTTCCATTATCTGATACTTCGATTTTTCGTAGATTAAAAGATGCTTGATCTTCTCGGAATTGAAAGAATTTGAATTTGATGATAAATTTGATGATGATGAACTTGATGATGGTAAATTTGATGATGGTAAATTTGATAATGATGAACTTGATGATGATGAACTTGATGATGGTAAATTTGATGATGATGAATTTGATGATGATAAATTTGAATTTGATGATGATGAATTTGAATTTGATGATGACGAATTTGAATCTGTTGATGAATTTGAATCTGATGATGAATTCGAAGAAGCATCAGAACGACACAATTTAGTCATACTACGTGAAGACATTATATCATTACTCAATGATGAAGTTAAAGATGATTTAAATTCTAAAAGACAAAATTCAAAAATAGAAATATATAGTAAAACAGTAAAATTAATAGATCAAATGCACAAAGTAACTTGTTCCCTTATTATAATCAACCATTGTTCGAGATTTTTTCTCATCTTCTGTCATCTTTTTTTTGTAATTGTACTGGACTGTATTGTACCTAATAAAAAACACAATCGTTGTCGCTACTACATGCAGCGACAAAATCATATAATTAACATCAGCTCGTCATGACATCTGCTGTAGTTGTTTGTGATATCAACAATATTGACTACAAAATCTTTCTCAAACATTGTTTGCAAAAAAAAGTTGGCAGGGCAAAAAAATTTGCCCTGCCCTGCCCTATGCCCTGCCCTGGCTGCCCTGCAGGGCAAGCAGGACAGGGCTAAAAAAAAAAATTTGCCCTGCCCTACAGGGCAGGGCAGGGCAGGGCGTCAGGGCATCAGGGCAGCCCTGCCCTGTGACGGTCTCTGATTGGTATCTGTGTCGATGTGTTCGTCGATTGTTTTGAGCTAGCTGAATGTGAAGACTCAAACAACACTTGTTCTGAACTTAGCCATAGATGTGTTCATCATCCTCATTGTCATAATCGTCCCGTTTGTTATCCAGTGCCGAGTTTTAATGAGATACTCTGTCCACCAATATCAAGTAAGAAAATGAAAAATAAACTAGACACTGAAGTGAAAAAAACGATTTCTTTTAAAGTTATCCCTTCATCGTTCACACATCCTGATGTATGAAGTTCATTTTATTATACGAGCGGTAGGAAAGAATGAATGATCCTTTAAAACTAGAGGAAACTGAAGTGCAACACAGATAAAACGAACTATAATCATTGAAACAAAATGATCCCATCTGTTCTCAGGAACCATATCCATTGATTTGAAGAATAATCCGTTACACTTTTACCTATCAGTGTATCAATAGGCTGTAAACCTATATATGTTAGCATTACCATCAAAACAAATCAATTCTAATATATCATATCCATCTTTATTCATAGTTTCCTTTGTATATTAGACCGATTCTAGTGAGTATTGAATTTTGTTAAGTAGCCTTCTATGAAAATAACTAGGATGGACATTAATAATTCATATGTGCATAAAACTTGTTTCTTTTTTCATAGCTTATAGTATTACGGACTTAGTTATCTCTCTAAAACACTTACAAGGAGAATGTTTTCGGGAAATAAAAGTATAGGAATGCAGACTGTTTAATGGCGAGATGAATGACAAAGAGAGCTATCTTAAAAATTTGTCATTACATTATTAATTATCTGGTTTCAAACCTCCTTTGAAATTCATTCCATTCACACTGTTGATATAACTGCAGAATATTGAATAGTGTCAATAGATTCAGTAAAATTCAATTCAATTTGCTTTGATTTGATTCAACCGAATCACATCGCATTGCATTATCGAAAATGTTACCAACCTTTTATTCTCTAATGAATGTGAACGTTTTGCATGAAAGATTAGATATACGAGAGATATCAAATCTAAAACATCTCATTTATATAAACAAAATTTTTTATGGTGATGAACAGCGATGAATGGTACAACTACAACTATGATTACAAGCACAACCACTACACAAAAACCATGTAAGTATTATATTAACATTTTTTCGTCTCGATAAATATACAACTTTTTAACCAAGTCAAAGTAGCTTTCTATGTAGTATTAATCAACAGTCAACTATAGATTAAATGGATAAGATAAATGAACTGATATCATGAATGATTCAATACTCACCAAAGAAAAAGCAAGATAATAGTAAATACCTTAATACAAATAATCTCAAAGTCAAATGCTCCAATGTTATCGAGCATCTTTTTAGTATTCTGTAAACAGTAAACATAAAATTAATCGGATATTAACAAATTAATCATTTAGAAAAACCGTTAGAATATCTAAAGAGAAAATTTTGATTGTTATGTGGCTTTCATTCATAGTACTTACCAGATATAAATCAATTGGGGTTACTCACCGTATGTGGAAACATATTGATGTGTGCTCTCTAAAAAGTCGTTGGTAGTTGTATTGAACGAATAATATTTTATTATTGGTCTGATTTTTTAAACCTAAGATGCAAAATCATTAGCAAAAGCTGTCATTTTTATGTCAAACAGTTGTACATCAATGTTAACTTACTTTTGAAATAATCCCAAGTTTTATATTTCTTTTTTGGAAATGAAATAGTCTAAAGAGATTCTGAGTTTATCACTTAACTACATATACAAAGAAATGTAGAAAAATGATATGACGATGAGACAAAATAGAGAAACTCTGTAGCATACATTTAATGAAGACAAGAATTTCCGTATTCTCTTGAAATTAAAAAGAAAAGCAGCATAATAAACAATTGAATATTTTCAATAGATTTGCTAATATTTGATAATGTATCTTTAAACAAGAAGTTTTAATTAGAATCTACATATGTGCATATGAGGACGTGTAATATTAATGTTTTCTATATATTGTGTACAGAAATGTCCATGATCAAACTTTTTAAAACATTAAAAACAGCATTCGTTATTGGTAAAAAAGTGACTGCTGTGATGTCTTTCTCTTTTCAAGAAGAAAAGAGGTGTAGTTGTGGATGTCGATGGAAATAGAAGATACACCCACGCCCAAACTTTGAAGCAGACATCAATCGTATAATATAAGTGTAAGAGATACCATTGGGAAAACTCAATAGGAATTTTGAAAAAAGAATCAAGATTGTACGATTGATCTTCACGGAAATATTTGTAAACTACCAAATTTCGGAAAACTTGGTACACTTGGTATTAATAGCAATTTGATGAGGAACTTAGTAATTAAGAAAATCAAAACGGGAAACGAGATAACTTTTTGATAGTGTCACCTTCTTCACAAAAAAACCAAAGAAAACACCCATTAAGAAGACAAATTCCAAAATGAATCACAACTGAGAACAACAATCCAAGTTAACTTTTCACTTTTTCCTCTGTTATATTGTTACTCCTGTTCTTTTATCTCTCTCACTTTATCAAATGATCTTCTCGTTGCTCTCTCTATTTCAGTTCATCCATTACGTGGAAATGCCATTGACATTCATCCAAACGCTCGTTGGGAGCAGCAGGGTGTCATTGTTGCTGGAGGAAATGGACAAGGCCATGACACCGATCTACTCCACACTCCAATGGGTTTGTTTGTGGATGATGAACAAACAATTTATGTTGCTGATTATTCGAATCATCGTATTATGGAATGGAAACGAGGTGCCACGAACGGTCAAGTGGTTGCCGGTGGAAATGGACAAGGAAGTAGGACTGATCAATTGTCTTCCCCAACAGATGTTATTGTCGACAAAGAGACAGATAGTCTCATCATATGCGATAATTCGAATAACAGAGTGGTTCGATGGTCTCGTCGAAATGGAACAAATGGAGAAACAATCATCTCCAACACCAGTTGTTACAGTTTGACAATGGATGAGAATGGATCTCTCTATGTTGTTGATCATGAAAAAGATGAAGTACGACGATATCGAAGAGGAGCATAGGAAGGAACAGTGGTTGCAAGTGGCAATAGACGTGGAGATCATCTCGATCAACTCAATCTCCCATTATACGTTTTTGTTGATCAAGCTCAATCAGTCTATGTATCTGATACTGAAAATTATCGTGTGATGAAATGGATGAAAGGTGCAACACAAGGTATTGTCGTGGCTGGTAGTCAAGGACAAGGAAGTAGCCTTACACAATTTTCATATCCTTGAGGAGTTGTTGTCGATCAATTAGGCACTGTCTATGTGGCTGAACAAGACAATGATCGCATCATGCGTTGGCCCAAAGGAGCCACACAAGGAAGTGTCGTTGTTGCTGGAAACGTTCTAGAAGGACAACTCAATCAACTGCTTTGGCCTATCGGTTTGTCATTCGATCAAGATGGCAATCTCTATGCCGTCAATTTGGAAAATCATCAAGTGCAAAAATTTAATATTGCCTCAAATGCTTAAAACACTATACGAATACAATTTTTTTCCTAGCTTCTCCATAAATGTGCTTCGAGTGCCCTACACCCTTGTTTCTATTACGTTCACACACGCACTACCTCGAGCAGACTTGCCATCTTGTAATGTTCAAAAAGCAGAAAATGCCTTAAGAAAAACAGAAATCAACAGAAAATTCAAATTGAAAAAGCAGAAAAAAGCAGAAAGCACTTTTTGTTATACCAAGCCATATCTGAAGCAATTTCTCACTGTCACAAGAAGAATATTTCTCACCAAGATCCAATCTTTCTCATGTGAACTCGAGTAAAAACTATTCAACAGATAAATACAGCTTAGTGGCACATTTTCTTTCGACGTTTATTTTCGTCTGAATTGATAGTTTCCAGTAAGTCATTAATCGATATTCGCCACGTTCGTATAATTTAACATCAGTTTCTATGGATTTTTCTATCTACAAAGCGGCTGATGACACCGAGTTTCAAAAAATAGAGTTAATCAACTATAAAAACTGTTGAAAATACTTTTCATAACTGGATTTGAAGCTCTGCTTTAAATTGTAGGATTATCGGTTGTTCTTAAATAAGAAAGAAAGAATTCAGATCTTTTCTACATAATGATGAGCGATAATGCGAATAAAAGTCCTTCACATGTTTAGTTTTTTTAGAAAGGGTGTGGGTGTGGGCATGGTAGCCCTATGGGTACATACTCAAGCCTACACCCACACCAACACCCACACCCAACTATTACCTTATATATATCAAGTTGGAACAAATAAATAATGCAACTTACTAAGCAGCTATTTCAAACCGAATGACTGTCTCACGTCTGTGCTACATGAACAAGTATATATGTTCAATTTCCGTATTTTGTTTTTTTTTCAATTCATCTTATATTATTGTCGAAATGTATACAGATAGAAACCGAGATTGGTCTTTATCAAATCGTGGAATAATATACTTGTCCACTCAAAGAACTGACTGAAGAATTATCTACTACAAACAATATTTATTCATTCATATGTAGTAATAATATGAATGCATTCACGAAAACATAATTTAATGAGTGTCAGTTAATGATATTTCATCTTAGTGGTTTACCTGTTGTTGGACTTCGCTATGCTTTAAGATAATTGTTTTGATGCTTAGACTTGCTTGATGCCAGTTATTTTGAAGGGCACTAAATGTGGATATTGCCCTGTTAACCAAGCAAAGTAGAACATTTCATCGCCGATTAAGATTGGACACTGTGGCGTAATATATTTATCACTTCGCAGGTTAAGATCAATACGTTTAATTACTTTACCCGTATCCATATTGACAGCAGTGATGAAATAGAGAAATTGCGATTTCTGATAAATTGGAGAATCAGATACTATGTAAAGAGTACGTCTTTTTAAATTCATAGCAATGCAAAAAGAAATTAATTGAAATGTTTTCTTTTCACTTGATGTCGCCAATTTACTTGTCCATAGGGTTTTTCCCAGATTGTCGATGGCAAAGACAAGAGGCATACTAGACATATAAACTGTACCGTTGTCATCTATAGTAGGCGATGTCATATCATCGTTTGCAACAATCAAAGAAGGTGGATACCAATTCCAACGTAATTTAATTTCTCGTGTTGATACATCATATGATGAAACAACATACTTCCATGGTAAATCAGTCATATTCTGCCATGGTCGTATAATTATTTGCTTTTGTTTGTCTAAAACAAAATCTATGCCAGCATCATTAGGTTGTGTATAATTGTTGATAAGATTCTGTCCATTGTACTTAAATTTCAATAGATTACGATCACCACCTATCCATAATATATCACCTGTATTTGTATCACATCGATAGTGTCCAGTCGCGCCAGCACCGAAAAAATGTCTATTTATCCATTGCACAGTCAATGTCGTTTTGTTCAAAGCGGCTGGCACCGATTCAAATTCATCATCTGTTACAGCCGTTATCAAAAGATCATATTTTTCATTCAATGCCAATGGAGTATTGATATCATTGTACAGTTGATAATTGTCGATACATTCTTGAATAGGATGTGGTGTTTGAGCTTCTGTGATTTGACAAATTTTTGCTGTATAATATTCATCACCTGTCCATGAAGCGGTATAGAAGAGTACTCCTTGTCGATCGGAAACAATGTTGGAAACACCAACTGGCAACATGTCTGGTACGGGCTCAAGAAATATCTTCCAGCGAATGTTACCATTTGGGGTTACACAAATCAGAAAATCAGCTGCAAAAAGAAAATATTATCGTTATCAATTTAAGATAGTGCCTTTCTAAAATCTGCTAAACAAGGCAAAATAATCTCAAAATATCGCGAGACACCTTCAAAAACGCCCAATATTGTGCAAATCAAGTATAGGTAATAACTAGCGTGTATGATATCTTGACAGACTCAGGAAAAAGTAAACATCACCATTAATACCAGCACCTAGACCAAATTGAGTGAGATCTTGTGATGTTAAGTTGTATTCATAAGTCCATGATATGTTGGAATAATTAGTTGGCATAGATGGTTCGATGTGATAAGTATTTTGGGAATTTCCTTGATCCATGGACCATAGTGAGTCAGGCTCGCCGTTATTAGCCATGACGTTAGCAATTGTCGATTCACATGAATTAATATAAAGGAACAATATTACTAAATAATAGTTCATCTCACTGTCACTGATACGCAAATATACAAATGAAAGTCGTTTCTTCACACTTACATCGCAGTGAAGAACATCTGCTGATATTCCCATAGCATATTAGTTTGCCACTATTGTCTCTGTGACTATTTATCGTGTGATGAGAGTAAATCAGAACGAGACTGCGTTTTTGTGATAGATGATTCAAACTTACCCTTGGATGCTCCCTTGGAAGCATACGCATCTGAAAGTTTAATCAAAGGCAATTGTCGAATTTGAGATCGAATAGATGTTTCATGTCGTATCAACGGCAAAGTTCGGAGGGTGTGGGTGTGAGTGTGGGTGTGGGTGTGAGTGTGGGTGGGTGTGGGTTGGTGTGAGTGTGGGTGTGGGTGTGAGTGTGGGTGTGGGTGGGTGTGAGTGGGTGTGGGTGTGGGTGTGGGTGTGGGTGTGGGTGCGTGTGGGTGTGGGTGTGGGTTGCGGCTGTGAGCTGCGGGTGTGGGCGTGGGTGTGGGTGTGGGTACTACCTTTACTGAATGTGACACGCACACCTACACCCACAGCCACCCACACCCACGCCCATCCACACCCACACCCACACCCACACCCCACAGCCACCCACACACCCACCTGCACCCACACCCACCCACACCCACACCCGCACCCACGTCCACACCCACACCCACGCTATTCCAATACACATCAATCTTATGATTTTCTATAACATTTCAATATTTCTAACATCAAATACTATGATACCATCTAACTTTCTTCATCCTGAAAAACATGTAGAGATATTTCATAGAGAATTCTGCTCGATCGAAATACCATGTAGAAAAAAAGATGTTCTTACATCTATTTGACGAAATTTTCTTTTATAATACTGTTATCATTGCATCGTAAAAGCTCTTTGCACTCAAACAATAAACTTATTGTAAAAACTACACTGTGAATTGCGCTAAAAGGTTCATCTATTTGAAAAAAGATTTCGATTGTTTTAAAGACTCTTTTCTTCCAGATGTGAAAGAAAAAATTAGGGGAAAAATGAACTTATAATTGATTTTAATCGGCCTGTAAATAGAATAATTGAAGAAAGTTCAGCATCTACGACTTTTTTTTGAACTAAGGCATCAGTTATAATTTATTTTCTTCTCGAAATAAATAAAACGGATTAATATCGAGTATAAATGATTATTTATGATTTGTTATCAAGATGACATTAATTTTAAGAAGAAGTCGACAATTGTTTTCATGATTAAAATCATGCCGTACCTATTACAATCCATGATAATCGAAAAAATTTCGAATCGATTATCATGAGTTAACTAAAAATAGAAGCTTTTGTAGTGCAAATCAATAAGATCGACCATATTCTAGTGAGCATTCATTGGTCGAACACTCTCCCAATCAACAAAATTTCGATCTGTGCTACTATTGAAATGTCTTGATTTTGAAATTCGATTATTAATGTACAGAGTATCCTAAAAGTCATACTATGCTCCAAAACACTTTTGGACTTTGTCATCATTCTTTGATCAAATATGGTGAATTTTTTAACCACTTATAAAAAGTATGCGAAGTTCATATTCATAAGAAATGTCAAAAAATGTTGCTTGGAAGTGTTGCTACGAATTTAATGAAGAACTATCGTCTCTCACCAGTTATCGAAACCATATATTTGTTTTTCAGAGGAAAACTAAATGATGCACATATTTTTTCTAAACATAGAGGTTCGTTGTTTACAATGTATATTAACTATAATATACAATCCGATACTTATATTTTATTCTGCTATTTTTATACACGAATAGAAAAATAAATCTTCAGTGCGTGTCAAGTGTCGCTTAGAACATTTGATATTTTAAAGCAGTACTTTTTTTTTGAATGTTTTCGTTATGAGTATGAAATATGAATACTCCTCTATTGACTGTAAACAATCACCCATTTCGTCAAAAGATGTAGAAATTCAAGATTTTTGGTGTGTATGGTGACTTCTAGAACACGCTGTATTTGTAATATTTGTGCGAATACTGTAATTTTGTATAAATTGAGTGGTTTTTCATATAGTAGATTGACTTGTTGCGTGATTAGTAGTCGTGTATTTCGTTGAAATTTCGGATATGTTCTCAAAGCTTGGTAGTAAATTAGTGACTATTGATATGGTTCTTCTCATTCAACCGTTCATTATTGAAGTGTACATTTTATTTGAAGCATAAGTGAAATAATAAGTTCTCGAATATTTTTATAATTCATTATCGACACACATCGACTTTTTGAATAGTTGGGTAGCAATAAAATTGTTTTTGCATCAAATAAAAATTATATATATATTGGTTCTTTATAAATAGTCATTGCACAATAATAATTATGAGATCATGATAAGATATCATTTTATTTCTTAATCTTGAAAATCTTTCGCTGTTTGGTCTGATTAATACGAATTTCAGTTTTAGTATACTTTTAAAAAATGGAATAAACCACAAAATGACAACTCTTCTATTTCATGCTAATCAGATCATTATTCCCAAACTCAGGAGTTAATTAATAAATTCACATTTCCACGCATAAAACTCCTTTTGCATTCTATCTTCTTTATTTAAGATCACGTTTTTTTTGTCATAGTGAAAACATTAATAAATGCATATTGCTCAGCGGTAAACAGTTATTTATTCATATATATTGGTGAGAAATGAAGTAGCGTTTCAGGATAACTAGAACAGTGACTTGTAACAAAATGTTCGCGAGACATCTCGAAAATTCTTCGATGTCATCAATCAATTTTCTTTCGTTGATTCTATGTTTATTCACTCAATATTATTGTTGACCCTGTCTCTTGTTTTTTTTATAATCTTATGTGATCTTCTGGACTTATCCCTTATATATTGATCAGACACTGGAATCGAGCTGATTATTCAACCATTTGGTTGGATCTGTAATAAATATTTTAACTCAAGACACGTTACATATCAGAGCTATATAATATAGAACAAACAACTTCTTTGTCGTATCCTTTTTTTTCTGTAAAGAACATTATCTTTTAATATTTTCTTTTCAAAAGATTGCTTGTTGTTGTCATTGAAGAACACGTTGCCTTGATAATGCAGGATGCAATAGATAATACACAAGCACATCAAAGATAGTATACATTTTTTTAAAATTATGCATGTTGGTTTTTCATCATAAAGCTATATCCAAGTCAAGATTTTATTTTTAGATCGCTTTATTGAATCATGAATGTAATACCATTTTTATACCAACCTGCGATACAAGCACTTATTTTCCTAATTGCAAATATTTTCGCTTTACTAGTCACTGTTTGTTTTGTTCGGTCATTTTCATTGATTTCTTTATTTCTTTATTCCACGATCGTTACAGTCATATGCAGAAAAATAGCACGTGGTGGTTCATATACGCCACCTCAAAATACTGATTTAACTGGCCAAACAATCATAGTTACAGGAGCGGCATCAGGAATTGGACGTGTATCAGCCATCGAATTAGCTAAACTAGGCGCAAAAGTTATTGTTGGTGTACGTGGTCAAAATAGAGCTGAAAAAGTAGCTCAAGAATTAGAACATGAAGCACGTGTTGTCGGTAATGGTAAACTAATTGGTTACAATTTGGATTTATCCAAACTATCGACCGTGAAAGATTTTGCTAATAAAATTCTTGAGCATGAACAACATGTCAATATTCTATTGAATAATGCTGGTACTGCATATCCACGACATTCATTGACATTTGATGGATTAGAAATCGTATTCGGTACAAATCATATTGGTCATTTCTATCTAACGCAACTTCTTTTACCATTACTAATTCAATCAAAAGCGCGTATTGTTAATGTTAGTAGTATGATGCATTTTGTTGTGAATAAGGGTATTAATTATGAATTTTCTTGTTCATTATATAATTCAAAAATTGCATATGGACAATCAAAATTAGCTCAAATATGGCATGCTAGGGAATTACAACAGCGTTATGGCCAACAAGGAATTAAAGCCTATTCGCTTCATCCAGGAGTGATTTATACAGATATAACAAGACGTGCACCAAAATTATTTGCATTGATTCAGAAATTAATATTGATGATAATTGGAAAATCATTATATCAAGGTGCACAAACAAGTTTATATTGTTCATTGTCTAATCAAGCTAAACCAGGACAATTTCATACTGATTGCAAAGAAGGTATACCAAGTCCATTGGCTTATGATCAAACATTAGCCGAAGAATGTTGGAAGTTTAGTGAAGACATAATCAAGGAAAAAACCAAATATTTCTAACATAATATTAAACTATATACGTTACACATCCATCAAATTACATAGTCTTTCCTACGATTAATATACGATGATTCAGTTTTTTTCGCGTTTATATGAGTATGGATGTGTGTGCGTGTGTGTGGAGAGTGAGTACAGGATTTGGATTAGTTTTGTTTTATATTAATGTATTTGATATGTTCATATTAAATATATTTTTACTTATTTTAAACAAGACAAGTAACGTTCATCGTCAAGCGATTCACTTAGCCCTAGACTGATAGAGTACATGTACGGATGTAATAGTATAAAAAGCTACATTAAAAAAGTAATACGCAAAATTGATAATATAACCAGTATATCTTAGGCGAGCAGAAAACTTAATTCAGAGAATTCTCACTCTAAATAAACATAATGCATTTTACAAATTTAATTTTTTTTGTCGTTTTTGTTTTATTTTTTTTTTGCTTTTACAAATATAAATAGCGCTCAATAAGATTAGACAAGAATACGATTTTTTCTGTAATTATATTAGCGCTATTTGTACGTACAAAAATATGAATTGTATTATTCATAAAATTTGCGTTTTATTAATCAATATTTTATGCTTCAATTCGCGCATTAATTCTAAACTATTAATAAATTAGATATTCATTGATACAACATTGCACAATCAATCCTACAATAATGAATTATTTAAACGATTTCTTTAAATCCATACTGCTCATTTGGTCGGACTCTCACTAATTAAATGCTTTTGTAAGCCTTTTCACACCACTACCCGAATTATAGTTATTTCATGGACACATTTTATCGATGATTATTATGGATTCATTTACATCAGTCTTTAGATGGTCACCTCTGCCATAGTTACCGGAATAGTTGTTTGTACCATGGTTGCTATATGGT